TAGACAACAACAAAAATCCACAATTGAAATTGCCTCTAGCTAAAAAAAAAAAAAAAAAATCAAAAATTGACTTTATCAGTTCAGTTATTGTACTATATTCAAATCAAAGGGTCTTTATTACAAAAAAAAAGAGCTTAATAATGCTATTTACAACATATTGCTAAATAATATAAAGGCAGTGTTTTGTCACGGTTTATACTATATACATATGAGAAATGGCTGGGACAATATTGGGGGAAGCCAGGACCTTTGATTCTTCTGGGTATTGCTGAGACCAACCCCAAATACATTTGCTTTTCAAATTCTAATTTTGAAGTGGTAATATACAATTTTTAAATGCTTTCCCCCCCTATGGAGAGGATTCGAGTATTTTAAAAACAAAGAATGAATCTATTTTCACAAAAAAGGGCCACTCTGTTTGCTTTTTCTGCTCATGCTCATGTTTGTGCATTTTCGGCGGTGTCAGTTTTGAGAGAGGGCTCAGTTGAAAAGACTCAAAGTCCAGGTGCTCCCAGGTTCTCCTATATTCCTAGAAGGATACTTATAAGAAGATGCAAAGGTTAAATACCAGTTTTGATCCCAGCTCTGAAAACGAGCATTTTAGCTTTAGTCTTATAGGTGGTTTACAACCAACAGATCTACAGAAAAACAAAACTGCATTTCCTTCAACATCACATGTAAGTGCAATACAGTAACTGCTTACTCATAGAAACCAGTTACGTTCTTTTAAGGGGAGCTTTTTGAAAACAATGCTTCTTGTAATTTGCAAACACGGAGTCTGTACCAGAACGAAACATTTGTACTATTCACACCAATAAAGAGTCTATAATATACATGGCAAAGAGATTCTGCTCTGTCCTCACACGTACACAGCTTCTCTCAGGGGATTCTGTAAACCACTTTTTCTTTGATGAATTTATGATTGCTTCTGGGGAACATCCTAATTTGAAAGCCCCCAACTCTTTAGCTTTACGACTTAATATTAACCTGTATGTTTATGCATGTATGTGTGTTGGGGGGGAGGGGGGATTACATACTAAGTGTCTTAATGTACACAGAAAAGAAATTTCATAAATTTACAGAAACTGCATTACCCTTGCCCTTGACATCTGATGAAAGAGACTCTTATCTTTTAAAAGTAGAGAGCAGGATTTTCAAGAATGCTTTCAACTGTCTATATAGTCACCGAAGTGTTCCTAATAAATTCAACAGATGTTGTGAGAATGTAGTTATTTATTAAAATCTCATGTCTTACGTAACAACAGCCATGAGGTTAAATATTTACATTGCTTTATAAAAGTTCCCCTCTTGCTTTAGTGTTTTTGTTTTGCTTTTTTTTTTGTTTGTTTTTAACATTTTTAAAAATGATATTCACCCACATCCCTAGCACAGCAACAAAGAGTCGGCAAACATAAAACACTTTAATGGAATAATACTTGGAGGCACAAAGGAACTTCAGGAATATGTGGGTGAACATTTCCTTAAATAATGACTACATTCTACCATCTTCCACGTGGTTTTACCAGTTAAAGGGAAATGTCCTCATTAAACAGCCAGAGATACAGTAAGAATTAAATGTTTTGTTGTTGCAAATAGAACATTCTTTTGACAAAACATAACAAATGCCTAAAATAGGTCCTTAAATCTAGGTAGGAAAAGGTAAGCTTTCCACTTCACACGCATATATATATGTCTATTTTTACATGTGTGTATATGTGTGTATGTGTTTATGTTTACACATCTGCACACACATATATAGCACATGGTATGAAATATTGCTTCTATACTACTTTTCATTAGGCTAAGAAAACACAAGATTTGCACCACAGTTACAAAAAATTGGCTTCTACAAGAATTTTCAAAACTCGAATGCTGCTCAAACAATTGAGGAAAAAATAATTTGCGGTATCAAACTGTTCTAAAAATTCTCTTCTCAAAAACGTATTCTCCCGCTTTGTTTTTTAAAAAGACACAAAATATGCATAGCTATCAACGTTATGTCAAACAGCCAGAAAAAAAATCTAGTGTTTATTGCAGCTGTAGAAATTGGAAATAAAGTCAAAAGGATGAAATCGAAAGCCACAGAAGGCACACGAACAATTGTATTTGTGGGAAAAAAGTGGGATTTTGAAGGATTTTTAACAATCCCCCCGCTGGTGCATTTAGGTCTAGGCACAGACTATAACCTCAAGTGTAGATGCAAAAATAATTTGGGGTTAGCAGAAAATAAGTGGAAATGTGGTATTTCAACATGGACTTTAGACTTTGTTTCCCTTTGTAAACTGTCCCTAGTCCTTCACCCTCCCACCAGAGAAAGCGAACTTTCTCCCAAGTCACCAATTTTTACGTGGTGAGAGTTGAACGAAGATTGGAAAGATGGTGATTTTGAAAAAAACCTGTTAAATAGGCATTTTGAGAGACAGGCTTTTGTCATTTTCCAATGCACTGGGAGGCACAAGATTTTATGGTGGTGAAAGAAAAAGAATCATCTAAAAGCAAAATGATTAAGTTCTGTTTCCAGGACAATGAGGTGAGTTTCTACTCACGCTGCAATTTCTACTCTGAAACAATTTCTATGCCTCAGTGAACATTGAGAGGATATTATCGTGGATAAGCACATCAACATTTGGTTGTGAATACACACTTTTGCTTAATTTGTCTGTTTAAATTAGAAAGGCAGGGGAGAATAACACTAAAAATCTAAATATGTCTGAAATCAATACTAAATTTGCCCCAGATCAGGAAGATACTAGCAATCTGTATCGATAGGTGAATACATTATGGTTTTGCCTTTTGCCTTGCAAATGGCAACACAACAGTGATGTGAATTCCATGGAACAGCAAAGAGGCCCAGTTGTATACTGATGTGAACAACGAATGTCATACTCTTGGGCGTGAAGCAAGGCGAAAGAGTGTGACCACAAGTTGAGATTGCTTCTCTACTTTGTGCTGATTGGATTTTTTTCTTCTTTTTTTTTTTGGTTTGCATTATATTCCAATGTGATGATTATCTGAACATTTTTTTTCCCTAGACAAGCCAGAACAAGAACACACTGGTTCCGATGGCCCTGTGTGCTGTGAAGGAGGCTGCGAGCTGGGGGTGGGTTCGGCTGTGCGTGCAGGCGTCCCAGGCCTAGGCTGCTGCGCTCCGTCCACACCGCGAGAGGCTGTGTCCTGAATGACGCAGGCATCACAGGACCACGCCGTTTAATTTAAAGTCAGCAGGTTTTAAAGCTCTGTGCTGACAATAATTGCCTTCATACATTCCTGTCCATCAGCAGAATTTATAAATGATGTTAAATTACAGCGATTGGGTCAGCTAGTCTCATGGGTCAACCGACATTCTCCAAAGTCAAATGTCATTTTTATAAAAATCAAGGAAAAACAGTATTTATGTTGTACATAATCTAAATACCAGGTTTTTTTTTTTCTTCTTTTTACTGTGTCATTATAGAAGATGTAGATCAAATTACTGAAGGGGAGGGAGGGTCTGGAAAATACTATTAGAATAAAAAAGGAATTCTTACTGCCTCTGCACACAAAACCCATCCAAGAAAACAAGTGTGAATGCCATACGGCTTTTTAAAAGCAAGTATGGAAACGGTGTACACCTTTGAAAAACTGGAAAAAGAAAAGAGAAAGAACAAAAGAGGAGAACCACTGAAGAAAGCATGAAATAGCAGCTAGCTTTCTTGTGTGTGCTGAAATTGTGTCTTTTGGGTTAACTCCCAAACTCTCCTATTCTATACAGTCTTCTCATGTTTTGGTCAATTACTAGCTTCTGAGTTAGAAGAGACTCTATCAATTGCTTTAAAACACTGTACCTAAAATGAAAACACTTTAAATTAAACTGTCACCACTTTGAATATCCATCAGGGTAGGTAGTGTGGAAGTGTATAGGAAAATAGGTCATTCTCAAATGTACTCCTCTCAGGAGGGGAAGATCCAGTCAGCTAGCAGCTGTCAACAAACTTCTAGTATAGGCAGGAGTTTTATGGTCAAGTTAGGATGTCCTTTATTCCTTCCCATAGAAAGGAATTCAGAAAATAGTGGTTTTTGAAAAAAAAATGTTAAATATTAAACACATGATAATTCTTCTAAAGCATATAAACAAAATTGAGCAAAGAATAAATCTGAAACTTATGTGCCTTTTTATATCTTAAGCAAGATAAACAGAAAATAATAACACATGATAGGGGTTTTCCTGTATGAAGAACGATAGGTACTCACTTACTACCAAGAAGAACCTATTGCAAAATTTCGAGAGGTGACTAGAAACCACATGAATTTCCAGTCTCACCTTGAAAAGTCCGCTTTATACAAAATTGCTCTGCCTCCAAAAGAAACTAGTTTGGGGTGTTTGCCATTTCTCTGAGGAAAGGTTTGACAGTTAGTGATTATGTTTTCTTTTTAAAATGTGGCCTTTTGGGCTACTTTTGAAAAGTGAGCTGTTGATCTGCCACCGGCATTATTTTTAAAAGTGTGATAAGAAGCTACTTACTGAGTTCAAACCAAGCAAAATATTTAAGTTTATCAAGGGGTTTCATTGAGTTTTCTGACCTTCTCAGCAGTAAACACAAGAGACACATCACTGACTGTGGAGCTGTGCTGTGTCATGGGTCTCCCTTCGCCAACCGCCGTTTAGAACAAACCATGAATCCAACAGACGCATTTTAAACAAATGCCCATCCTTGCTAATATAGACTCTACACACGTCAACATTCTTTTTTCCCTGATAATTAAGCCTATTTTAAGTCTCCAAATGTTAAGGGCCTTGGGCAAAAGTAAACTAAAGGCGGCAGGAAAAGAACCATCCCCGTTGCAATTGAAAACAGAAGAAAATGAGAGAAAGATGATGGAGGAGGAATTACCAGCTGATTTCATAACATACCCATGCCTCCCATACACACATATATGAAATCAAAATCTAGACACGGATAACTTGGACATCCAAAGGGGACTGCTACTATTCATACATTCGAAAAGAGTTGTTGAAATTTCTACTCATGAAGCAGCTCTTGTAGGCAGTTTGGGGATTTGAAAATCTCAGGGACTTCACTATCCAGCTTGCAGATGACCTTGTATATGGCCTTCTTCCAGGAAGGATCAACATCTTTGCCTGCGATAATGGCATTGAAAAACTCCCGTAATGTGATCTGCGCAACTTCCAGGAATCTCTCTGGAACCTGCTGATACAAGGAGACAATGGCATTAATAAAGTTTTCAGTTTCAAGTCTCCAGTTCTTCAAAGGAAACTGAGCTAAGGTCTTTCTTTCAGATAGGGGCTTACACAGCACCTGCATTTTCTAAAAATGGCCGACCCCTATTCTCTTATGTAAAGTTGTTATATATAGTAGCATTGTAATGTGGGGTTGACAGCTTTGGAGAGTTTTAGAAAAAGACTTGTGCAAAGGATACATGCAGACCTATTAAAAAACCTGGATTCCATTGTGAATATTTGAGTAGAAAAATGGAGACATACTGTTGGGACTCCTTACTTCATTAAAGAGGTGTATTCCAGAATCAGGTTTCCACCTAATCTTTCAGAATTTGAACCACAGTTCCATTAGGAAAACAAAATGTCTTCTCAAAAGTAGACTAATATAATAATTGGCCTTTGATATAAACTAAACCCATGCTATAAATGAAGAAAATCGAAACCTTAGTGTGCTGCTTGCATTAGAGGACTATTGACTCTGTTGCTAAATTGTATACTACAATAATCCGACTATAAAGTACAGGCATACCTCGTTTCACTGCGCTTTGTTTTGCTTTATTATAGTTCATAGATGGTGCGTCTTTTTATGAATTGCAGGTTTGTGGCAACCCTGTGTGAAGCAAGCCTACCGGCACCATTTTTCCAATGATACCTGCTCACTTCATATCTCTGTGTCTCACTTTGGTAATTCTCGAAATATTTCAAACTTTTTGCTCTCGTTGTCTGTGATCAGTGATTTTTGATGTCACTCCTGCAAAAAGACTACAACTCAAGGCTCAGATGATGGCTAGCATTGTTAGCAATTAAGTATATTTAATTAAGGTATGTACTTTTTTTAGACATAATGCTATTGTACACTTAATAGACTACAATATGGTATAAATATAACTTTTATACACACTGGAAAATTAAAAAAATGTCATGTGACTCGCTGTATCACAACATTTGGTAGTCTGGAATGGAACCTGCAATATCTCTGAGGTATGCCTGTACACTATATACAAAAAAAGAGTAAGATGCTGATATTAATACTGAGTCCCAAAATACAAAAGCTTTAGTTGCTCAGTCATGTCTGACTCTGTGACTCCATAGACTGTAGCCTACCAGGATGCTCTGTCCATGGAATTCTCTAGACAAGAATACTGGAGTAGGTTGCCATTCCCTTCTGCAGGGGATCTTCCTGACCCAGGGATCGAACCTAGGTCTCCTGCATTGCAGGCAGATTCTACCATCTGAATGTGAACTGTGTCATTCAATTCCCCCAACATCTCTGTGATTACTAACCCCATTATACCGTGAGAAAATGAAGGCTCAGAGAGAATAAGGGAATTGTTCAAAGTCACTGTAGTTCAAGATAAACATTCTCCAAATATACTTTTCAGAAAATCTATTTGTTAATTCTTTTCTACCACAGCAATGAATATATGTGTGTGAGTTATCTGTGCATGTGCTTATGAATTGTTTATTAGTAGTTGTTTAATAGTCTGACCTCTTGTCTAGGCATAGGAATAGCTACTGATGCACTTATTTAGTCATCTTTGTAAGTTACATGGTAAATCAGGGCCTATCACCCCCACAATGAAACAAAGGATTCATAGAATCATTCCAGATACTCATAATTTTCCAAGTACACACTGACACTTTGTAGTTTTCCTTTAGTGGGGGAAACTTACACATGAATAATGTTTTATTTTAAAGTAAGTGTAGACATTTGCGGAAGTAAAATAACTGCAGCTGCATGTGTAGACGGATCTGTCCACACGTAGACAAGAGGTGAAAGATTTTCATCTTGGCTCAGACCTGCTGCTCACCAAAGTAACAGAGAGGGGTTGTCATTTTGAACATATTTGATCCCATTCTCCCCACCTTTTCTCGCTTTGTGCAGCGGGCCTTTTTATAATGATAGTAACTGTTAGAGAAAATGAAAATGATACCAGACAAACCCGTCTGAGACATTTGGAGTTGGACAAAGAAGTTCAGTGCTTCCTATGGCAAGTCACTTGTCCTTTGAAAGAAAACCTAATGATGCCCCAGAAGAAAAAGAGCCCCAATCTGGGGCTGACTGGACTCTAGAAAAAGTGAAAATGCTGAGATGCTTCTCCCAAGATATATGTATATGTATTGGCTAGTTTCTTAGGAGTCAGTTCTAACCGTTGCCTGGGAAATCATGGAAACACCACCTTGCTCCCCAGGGCCTTCCTAATGGCTCAAGAGGTAAAGAATCTGCCGCCAAGGCAAGAGATGCTGGTTCCATCTCTGGGTCGGGAAGATCCCCTGGAGGAGGAAATGGCAACCCAAAGCAGTGTTGGCAACCCACTCCAGTATTCTGGCCTGGAGAATCCCATGGACAGAGGAGCCTGGTGGGCTATACAGTTCATGGAGTCACAAAGAGTCAGATATGACTGAGCATGCACGTAGCCCCTTGCCCTCCATAAATGTGCAGACCCATATACTCCAAAGGCCATTCCCTGATGAGAATTCAACTGAACTCCGATGACCTTCCCCCCAATCTCCTGCACACACATGTGTATTTGTGGGATGGGGAGGGCATGGAGGGGCAATCAGCCCTCCCACTTACCTTCTACCAAATAAAAAGTCATTAGGTAGCCTTTCTGAGTACTCGCCCGTCTTTCCCAAAGATGACCCTTCAAATTCTGTCAAATGGGTGTTATTGAGAGAGGGATTATGGCTGGAGACCAGTTACACAGTGCAACCACCCACTCTAACTATGGGGTTTGGGAGCTGTTAGCCAAATGCAACAGAAACATAATCGGAGGGATTTATTAAAAGAAACATTTCAAGAAGTGTGGTTTCCCTGGCCATCAGCAACAGACCCACGATGAGGATCTATGGTCCTTGAACACTCGAGGATGCAGCCTGGCCTGGAGGAGAGCTGTGGGGACAGAGGTATGGCAGGGGTGCCAGATGAAGCCTACCCACTCCCAGGACTCCCAGGAGATCTGGAAACCAGGGCCAAGGGAGCAGAGATGATGTTTAAGACAGTCAGAGGAGGGGGATGCATCTAGAAAAGCGTCAGCCTTGGAGGAGGGAAGAAGTGCAGTTCTGGGGGTTTGCCTGAGAACAGATCAAAGTAATTTCTTAGGGGGGGTGTGTGTAGCCTCCACTCTGTTTTCTTTTTTTTTATGTTAAAAAAATGTATTTATTTTTATTTCTTGGCCATGCCACACGGCATGTGGGATGTCAGTTCCCTGAGCAGGGGTTGAACCCACCTCCTTGCATTGGAAGGTAGACTCTTAACCACTGGACCACCAGGGAAGTCCCACCCTGTTATTTCTTATCATCAGCCATGCTGGTTACTGATTTTTAGTGGGTTTTATCCTTTTTTAAGGACTTCCCAGGTGGTGCTAGTGGTAAAGAACCCACCTGTGCCAAGGCAGGAGAAGTAAGAGAGTAAGAGATGCAGGTTTGATCCCTGGGTCGGAAAGATCCCCTGGAGGAGGGCATGGCAACCACTCCAGTATTCTTGCCTGGAGAATCCCATGGACAGAAGAGCCTGGTGGGCTACAGTTCATAGGGTCGCAAAGAGTCCAATGTGACTGAAGCGACTTGGCACGCACACACGCATCCTGTTTCAAACATTCATTTCTTTTGGCAATACTCTTGGTCTGTCCCTTAACAACTTTGGCATTTGTGTCTTGATGTTATTTAGCTTTTCACCTACTTATATCTAGTTGTAGTGAATTTATCATTAGATGTCTTTTGAGCACTCTCCTGGCTTCAATTCTGTGTTTTCCTCACAATACTACACAGGGTTTTGTTGCATCGTCTTTGATAAACAGCTCAAAACGAGACCCTGCCTTCTGCTTTGCTCCACATTGCTCTAGAATCACACCTTACCTTCCCCCTAAATACTTAAAAAAAGGAATTTTAAAATAATGATAAAAAATAGAATTTAAAGACTTGAAATAGATCTCAGAGCTCATTTTATAGATGAAGAAAGTATGAGATTCTATGGGATGAAGAAATTATGAGATGAAGAGACTCATGTGAAATAACCGATCCAGGTGTATTGCCATTAAACCCTGCTGGCTCCTTTTAAATGCATTTTCAGTAATTCCTACTTATATGAGGCATCAAAACCTGTGACAAGCTGTGGATCTGTGGTTTAGAAAAACCACAGAAGAGCTAGTAACTTCAAAATAAGAGGGAATGACACAAAAGATTCCCAAGAGGAGACTTCGGTTATTGGTTTATGTTTGGGAAGGGATGAATTCTTTGAGAATAAATGAAATGGTTTGCTAATTTTGTGCTTAATTTGAGGCAATACTCATGCCTCAAATTGGGCTAGATAAAAGAAAGTTATAATGAGATCCTCTACTGCTAGAGCAATTAATCTGGTTTTTTTTGGTGGCTCCACAGAGGTAAATTGATGGGTAGCAACTGATCTGAGAGAGTGCCAAGGAATTCCGTCCACAGGTAGAAATATTGCCCATGAAAGACAGACCCTCACCTCTCTGCCAGAAAAGTCTCCCCAACCCCACTTAACAGAGTAACAGGGTTGGGGTGGGGGGGTCCTTTCTGATGTTCCGAGGGAGCGTCTTAAGAATTCAGGGTTATGAGACTGGTCTTGTCCGTGTGTTTTCAGTACCTCTTCACACCTAATGGATTTCCAATCACCAGTAAACATCTGCAGAAAATCCCTTAGTGACAAGTAATCCCTTATCTAGGTTTCTTTTAATAGAACCCAACAATCTGCAGAATGAACCCTAGAGTGTCTCTTCAGCATCAGGTGGCAACAGTCAATCAAGTCCCTGGAATGCAAGACAATGCCGGCCGCGGGGAGGGGGAGGGAAGGCCATGCCTTTGGACATGCCACAGGGGAAAAACAAAAGGCTTCCAAAGTCTCTGGCCGGGACGCTGAGGCTATTGTGGGAGCTGCAGTGCTGAGTGTTCTTCAGGAGGGACAAGTGGAAACTTTGCTTTGATAAAAGCCATCCCAATATAGGA